TTCAGTGAAAATGATGTGGGCATATCTCTAACCATGAAAAAAGCTGAACATCCTCTTATATGTATAAATCCCTTTGTATTCTTTTTCTTTTTTTCTTTTCAGCAGTCTGTTTCTGTGAGCTGCCTATTCATGTCCTTTGCCATTTAAATTTTGGCAAACAAGAGTTTGGGGTTTTATCTCACTGAAAAAAAGTACTATGTTTTGTATATTTTGTAATATAGTAGAATGCATGACCTTTATCTGTCATTTAATCTTTTCTCACTTAAAAATTTTTTTCTCACTTTTAAAAATCTGATTTTTGACTTTATGTATGAATTTTTTTTGCAATTCATATAATCTGTTTTTACATTGCCAAATTTGTTATTTTTGGATTTTAGATTTGGGACTTGTGCCTTGCTTAACGAAATATTCCCTACTTTGAAATTATGAAACAGTATTTCCACATTGTAGCGTCTTACGGTTTCATTTTTGAATGGCTTCGAGTTCATCAAATACATTTGTAGTTTTGTGATAGGGGCTCAGGAGCCTTCCCTCCTTGGATCTATTAAAACAATGATCTCGATGGCTAGACTTCCTAGCATTGAACCATCTTTGCACTCCTGGTTCCACTTATCCTGCTATTGGTTTTGGTGCTGTGTGTGTGTTTTAATTTGCCTGGTTCTTTTAGTAAATTCTCCATGTGGGGTTTTTGCACTGTTATTCACAAGTGAACTCAGTCTGTACTTTTTTTTTTTTTGCCTCCTTACTCCTAAGTGTAATGTATTAAAGCAGGTTTCCATGACAGCGTAGGAATCTGGATTTACATTTGGTTCCCTGCTTCAGTGAAATGGAAAACAGCTAGATTGAGGATGATTGCACCAGAGGGACCTGCTAAGAGAAGGCCCCCAGCAGGTTGATGGTGAGGTCTCCCCAAGACCTCTGTGATGGGCAACAAAAGTGTTTATTGCCTATATTCATGAACTATGAACCAAGCTTGCTTTCTCTTTAGATCATGCGTTCCGAATACAATGTGTTTAAATGTCAAACCAAAGCCAGTCTAACAAAAACAAAGTGAAATAAAAAGCCCCAAATAGGTTTTTTTTTTTTTAAGTAGGTTCCACACCCAACGTGGGGCTTGAACTCTCAACCTTGAGATCAAGAGTCACAGGCTCTACCGACTAAGCCAGCCAGGCGCCCCACCCCAAATAGTTTTTCAAAATTTAAAACTTTTGATTTTGATATGATGCTAGACTCCATGCAAAGCTGTTTGACTAGTACAGCAAATCTCTATGTCCACACTCTTCACCAGATTTACAAATTTTGTCACACTTTATCACTTCTGCTTTGTTCTCTCTTTTCTGTCTGTTTTTTTTCTGAAGTGATTTGAAAGTCGGTTGCAGTCTGCCCCTTTATCCCTACATACTTCATTCAGTATGTATTTCCTTTTTCTTTTTCTTTTTAAGATTTTTAATTTATTTATTAGAGAGAAAGAGCTCGAGCACAAGAAGGGGGAGCAGGAGAGGGAAAAGCAGGCTCCCTGCTGAGCAGGGAGCCCGATATGGGGCTCGATCCCAGGACCCTGGGATCATGCATGACCCGAGCCAAAGGCAGACGCTTAACCGACTGAGCCACCCAGGTACCCCTCAGTATGTATTTCGTAAAACCAAAGACATTCTCTCACATCGCCTCCATACACCGATCAAATTAATATTGATTCAGTACTATTATATAATTGATGGACCTTTTTTAGTCTTCCCCAAATGTCCCGGTAATGTCTTACATGACAACAGAAAATCCAGAAGCAACTTTGATCACTTAATTAGGGTGATTAAGTCTGCAAGCTTTCTCCTCTATGAAGCTACTGTTTTTCCTTTCCGTTATCATTGACAAGTATCTTGCAGACAAATACTTGGAGACCATGGAAATACTCCTTTACTTCTCAAAACTCCAACCATTAGTTTTGGCATTCCCAGATGGTTATTGCCCTAATCAATTATTTGGAGATTGCCAAAGTGTGGTTTTTCTGCTTCTGTCCCAATGATTTTTATTTATTTATTTATTTATTTATTTATTTTTAAAGATTTTTTTTATTGGACAGCGAGAGACAGCGAGAGACAGCGAGAGAGGGAACACAAGCAGGGGGAGTGGGAGAGGGAGAAGCAGACTTCCCGCCGAGCAGGGAGCCTGATGCGGGGCTCGATCCCAGGACCCCGGGATCACGACCCGAGTTGAAGGCAGATGCTTAACGACTGAGCCACCCAGGCGCCCCTGTCCCAATGATTTTTAAAAGGCAGAGGTTGACTTTCAATTTTTAGAAACTTGTTTTTTTGGGGTGGTGGTGCTGGGGGGGTTTTGTGAAAGAAACAGGGAGCAGTTTCAGGAAGTGGTGGGTCTTTATTTCCAAGTCACAACCGAAATGATTCTTTCAACTTATATCCAACACACAAGTCCTGTGTCCTGAAGGATTTCCAGAGGACAGCGTGTTTCCTTCCATGTGTTTTTCAGCACACACTTCCTACTTGGAACTGTGGTGGCTTTTGGGGTTCCCGTGGATCCGAGGGAAACCCACAGCTCTGGACAGGTTTGCATAAGGAAGAAGGGGGACATTTATCGAACCTACAATTCTTGATATTCTGGGACTGCAGCCACCTTCTCTTTGTTCTCCCTGGGTCCATGCTTGCCCCATGGCACACGGTGAGGGATTATTGGAAAGAAAATCAGATTATGTCAGCCCTTTTGTGTAAACCCTCTAGTGGCTCCCCACTGCTTTTAGGATAAAGACGGTTTGGGAGGGGGCTTAACATGGTATATCCAAGGCTCTTCTCCTTCTAGCCCTGACTTTGAGTCCACCTTCCCTTCTCCTCTCTCTGTGCCTAGGTCCATTGGGAGAACACCTGCCGGACTTCCTCTGGGCCCCTGCTCATGCTTGTCTCCCTACCTAGAACACTTCCATGCTTTCCTTTGCTGACTCCTCCTCACCTTCAGATTTCAGCCCAAACTGTCTTCCTTCCCTATCCCCCCTACCCCCACCCCTCTTTATGCCCCCAGGATTATTTAATTAATGACCCTCTGCCCCGCCAGACTGTGAGGTCTACAAGGAAACAGAGTGTGTTTATTTTGCTCATTGTAAATCCTCATTACTTCTTGCATGTTGACTCTTCCATTCAACAAATATTTATTAAGCAACAGATAGATCAGGCACTGGGTGTAAAATAGTGAAGAAGATGGACACACTTTCCGCTTCGTGGAGAAGGGAGAAGACACACAGGAAACCCAAAGAATTTCAGGAGATACTGGAGTGATGTAAATAACAGGTAAGGGAACAAAGGGATTGGGGGGGGTGGATTTGCAGAGTGGAGCACAGAGGTGGAGCCAGCCACTGGAGGGACAGGCCCAGGAAACAGCCGAGGCGGGAGTAGGTTTGGTGGGTTAGAGAAACCGTGGGCTCAGCTCCTGGCAAACTAATATTTGTTTAATGGACCAGACGAAGAATGAGCACCCTCTGCCTGGAATTGTGCCGGGTGCTTTCTCATGCTTTATTGCTCTTGCACCTCGTCAGATCTGACCTGCAGGTATTGTTACATCCATTACAGAGCTGAGGCCAACCCAGAGAGCCAGAGAGAGAGAGGGAGTAAAGTCCCACGTCCAAGGCCACACAGGAAGTGAGGGGAGGGGGAGCCAGATTCCACTCGGTCCTGGCTTTCTAGACTTAAGGCTCCTTCCCCCCCCCCCACCGCCCAAGGTGGGTCGGCCGCTATCGTGCCCTATTCGTGAATGCCATTTGCTAGACACTCAGACACACACGGACTCTGGGTCTGTGTATTGGAAATCGGGTGTGTCTACCTGTGCGGCAACCGGGCTCTCTGGGGCCTGGTTTGCTCTTCTGCGAGGTTCTGCACATTCTCCCGGGTGTCTTTTCTCCGACTTGAACCACAGGCCGCGCCTAAGGCACCCTCGCTCCCGTAGCCCTGCCACGGAGCACACTGAGTGCACTGGGCGCGCGTGCACGTGGCTGTCCCCAGGGCCCTGGCGCTGGGCGGGGGCGCCCGTGCGTCTACTACGAGACGCGCTGGCAGGACTGGGACGAGGGTGACGCGAGCGCAACATTTAAGGGAGTACCAAAAAACCAGTGACCAAGAGAAACAGTATTTTAATGAAATATTTTTAAGAAAATCAAAATGAGCCTGCCAGAGTCCAAGGGAACGAAATAGCAAAAACGTTAAGGAAGGGATCCGTCTCGATGGGTCGGGCATGTGGGGCGCCCCCAAACTCTGAGACGCGAGTCGTGGGGTGTCGGGGGCGCCCCCTCGGCCAGAGCGCGCCGGGGGCCTCCAGCTCGGGGCCCGGGGTAGGGAGGCTGACGGGCGGGGCGGGGCGGCGCCTCCCTCTCGCGGTCCTCCCTCCACCCCTCCCGGGGCCTCTCCTGGGCGCCGAGTCCCTTCCGAGTCTCGATCCGCGCCGCCTTTTCCCGCGACCCGCACGGGGCCCAGCTGACGGGCCGCGTTGTTTACGGGCCGAGCAGCCCTCGCTCCCGCCGCCCGCCCGCCACTCGCCTGCCCAGGTGCCC